AAAAGAGGCTGATGATGTGTGTGTACAATATATACATGTATGTGCATATACATATTTAAATTACTAGCTATAAGAGCAAGAAAGTAAGAAAATGTGCGTGTGCACAGCTTTCTCTTGCTTATATCGCCCGTTCGCCTCGCCGGAACACACTTTTCGTAACGCGTAACGCATTCGCCAGCTTACCCCCCAAGTCAAGCGTGCGTAAAGAAGTTTCACTTCAAAAATCATATTCTTCCTTGATTTATAGGTTCCAGTCAATCAATCAATCAAGTCAAAAGTGCTGACTTTGTTTTTTGACGGAACCCTTATTTTACAGTTAACGGGAGCAAAAGTGGGAGTAAAGTGGTGACACTGGTTACTCCTGGCTTACCTCCTTCTTTACATGCTAAATCAAATCATACAGCCCTTAATCACTTTGTGTGACTTATAAATTTACTCATGGTACGAAATTAGAGATGGGCGTTTTTTAGATATTTTTGAAATCGATGCGCATTGGTATCATATAAATCGCATTGGATGCCCGCATCGATGCCGGCATCGCATCAATGTCAACTGAATGTCGATGTCTTGTATCACAGAATATGATGCAATATGATTTTCTACAGATGCGTGTTTTGTGTGGGTGTGTCTCTTCGATTCCTTGAATCAGGACTTGAAAATGTAATCGAAAACTATTTATTTACTTTTCGGTATGTTATCTGAAAAGATTGAATGCTGGCAAAATTATTACATAAAAAATTTCACTCAGAGCGTAGGTTTTGAACGCAGGCAGAATGCCAGGTTTGGATGCGCGCATCCGATACGACCAGATGCCGTTAATGGATGCCGATGCAATCTAGTTTTTGTCATCATTACTATAGCAACAATGCTACAAACTTTTCTGTGCCGGTGGCAAAAATTTGAACTACAATTTATCCTTTTTATGACATATTTGTTCACCGCTAGCGACATCTCCACCGGCATAGATAACTTTGTGGCACTGTTGCTATGGTAACGTTGACAAAAACTAGATGGCATCGGCATCCAATAACGGCATCCAGTCGCATCGGATGCGCGCATCCGAACCTGGCATCGTTATCGCGCATCGTTATTCTAAAAACGCCCATCCCTATACGAAATAAAGACGGCAATACTTACAATTATTTACTTTATATAATTAAACTTAACCACACATGTCATGGTTCTTTGAAAAGTTTCGATCAAAGACACACTTGAGCTGTCTTCTATGAAAGCTGATGATATCTGTTACGCGGATGACACAGCTGTCATCTTTCATGATAAGACATGGGACAGTGTTCTCAAAACAGCTGAACATGACATGGTGATTGTTTTGAGATGGTTGAATGCGAACCTTCTGTCACTTAACCATATGAAAACAAAATTGATTGATTTCACAAAACGGAGGCATCTGAACCATCAGTACTCTTAGCACGAACCATTATTGAATTCGAATAGTTTGCAAACCGAAATGTCAATGTCAAATTTTGTATGGAAACTTGAACAGCAGCGGCACAAAGTACGTAACGAGAACTAAAAATCAGTACACATTTGACAATGACATTTCGGACTCGCAAACGATACGAATTCGATATTGGTTCGTGCTAGGGGTACTGGTCTTACTACTTTGACAATACATACCTGTGATTCGCGCTCGAATATCTGTAACTGTAGCAACATAATTATGTAGAGTGGACGCCATTAAATATCTAGGGGTAGGTAATCGTTGATGAAAAACTTAATTTCAAAAAAAAGGCCTTTCATGGCTATCTGGTAGTGTTAGAAGAAGTATACACATAATGAAAGAGCTTCGACACAGCGCTACTAAGGAGACATGCTTCTGGTATATAAAGCAATTACTCAATCCTTAATTTGCTACTGCTGTCTGACCTGCAGCTCTATTTTTGAATCACTCGTCTTGCGTCGAACGCTCGATTTCTACTAAATTTCATTCGACATAATTAATTCCGTATTTTTGAATCGCTCGAGTGCAACGAATGGGTGAGACCACTCGCTGCATGGCGAATGGTGGAGGCGAATGATAGAATAATAGTCAAATTATTTGTACTATTAGACGACGATAATCTATCATTGTCATGCTTTATATGAAACAACAACGAGAATTTTTTGTTCGGTTTTTATTTTTTCTGCGTGAAATAAGTAAAATTTCGTATTTCGTATCAAACAGGTAACACTGGTGACAAGTGATTCAAAAATACGGAAAATCAGTATTATGCGACTTGAAAGTCGAAGGTGACTTATGTCGCATTCGACGATACTATGTCAGACGAGTGATTCAAAAATAAAGCTCCTGGGGTGGATCTAATAAAACAAGCATGATCCTAGTCGAACGATCTCAGCGCGCTGTATTAAAAGTAATGTTTCACAAATCATTTATGTATCCCACCGATGCTCTTTATAAAGAGTGCAGCTTGTTGAGGGTTCGTCAGATCTTTATTGTAAAATCGATAATTGCTATGCCTGGAAAAGTGTCTGCATCACAAGAGTACAAAGCTCTTTGCCGTAGATCCAACTTTCGGATTCCAATGCCTATCAGGCATACTTCATTCATCCAACGCCATTCCACATTTCTTCTTCCTTTCATTTACAACTGGATTTGTCGCATCTTTGCTAATCTATACCTTCACTCTACAATTTGTGTCAAAAGGATGGTTCCTTCTCGGCTCATGGATCTAGCATATCAGGTAACAGAGGACATAATCAGGCGTGTAAGTTGACTCCCTACTTAACTATGGGTGAGATGAAAATTATCACAGGCACACACTCATGCACGCACACTCATACACTCACACATACACACACACACACAATCACACACACACACACAGAGAGACTCACACTCACATATACAAACATAGCTGTGCTAATGAGCAATCAATCTACTCCTACTATTACAGCATGCCTTCCGAAACTCCGAACGGCACGTAGAGTAAATATTATTCGAGGATTTTAAATAAATATATGGATAACTTATAACAATATGAAGTAACAAATGTTTAAAGTTACACCAAATACTTTAATAATTTTACTAATGTTAAATTTTTTGTCTTAAATGTGACTATCGAACACTTATGTATAACTGTAACTTCCTCACTCACAATGTATTTATTTGGTTAAGAATTCACCTCCCAGGTTTTGTCAACATGTTGTAATGCGAACCTTTTAGTAAAACTGCAATATTAGATCTTCGCGTTACGAGCTCAGCTCAGTGCGAAAACCATTCTTTAATTGTCACCTAAGTAAAAAAAATTGTATTGGTCAATAAATATATTTTTGATTTGATTTGAAAGATACTACTACCTCCTAATATCGCAGATGTTTTTGGGCTATTTTAACCACTTAACATCAGGAATGCTATAAGCTCAAAGAACACAAAGGTGTGGCTGTAAGCTTTAACTATATATTTATTCACCAAACGTGTGTTTTAATATTTACTTACTTATTTCTAATATTTGAGAAGGCACAAGTGTTTAACGCGAATCAGTCTGCGATCGTGTAAGTTACGCAATGGGCGATTATTGGATAGGTGACCAAAAATTTCTTATCGCGAATTGTTCCGTGCTTCGGAAGGCACGTTAAGCCATTGGTCCTGACTGCATCATTAGCAACCACCAATCCGGCCTGGACCTGCGTGGTCATAGGCTAAATGTCAAACTGCATGTGCTGTCGTTAGCACTCACCAAAACGCACTGAACTAGCGATTATAGCCCGAACTTTCTAATCCCATCAATAGGGAAAACCTGTGCTCCAGTCAAATTCAAACTCATTTATTCAGTCTAGGCTGTTACAAGCTCTTGTGAACGTCAATGCTTTGCCATCTTCTCGTAAATCTACGGCGAGAGACTTTGTGCTGAGAAGAACCGGCAAGGAACTCAGCAAGGGCTATAGTGATATTATTGATCATAAATCCGAATTTGATGACCTCCGTGGCCGAGTGGTTTATACGCAGGGTTTCATGGCGTCGCCGACTCGAGAGGTCCCGGGTTCGAATCCCGGTGGGGGCAGATGTTTGTGTGATGAATACGAGCATTTGTACTCCAGTCATGGATGTTTAATATGTATTTCATATAAATATACTTATATAAGTACAATATATGTATTCTATCCGTTACCCTAGTATCCCATAACACAAGCCTTTACAGTGCTTACTTTGGGGCTACGCTAATTGGTGTGAGTGTTGGAAATATTTATTATTATTATTATTTATTATAAATAACACAAACTGTACTATATCCACACCCAGATAGAGCAGTCCAAATAAACCACGCATAGAAAATGGCTCACGTTACGCGCAATGTGTGTGTGACTCTAATATCTTTATGCTAATTTGGTTGAAAATTGTTTAATCGCCACTTCTAAATTTAAAAATAGTACCTAGCTATACTTAACTTTTGTTAATATTAATGTGATGGAAGTTGACATTAACACATGTATTCAATTTTTGATGTCGTCTTTCAATTGACGACACTGTATGAAACAAAACAGGGAGAAAAAAATAGCCCTTGCTGAGTTTCTTGCCGGTTCTTCTCAGTACAAGGTCTCCCGCCGTAGATTTACGAACCGATGGCGTAACGTTTGACTTTCACAAGAGCTTGTAACAGCCTAGACTGAATAAATGAGTTTGAATTTGAATTTATCAGATTGTTTGAAAGCAGCCGATATGTGCTTGTGTAGCGACGAGCGCATCTACTATATGTAATTGATATTTTTGGGCCGTTTCCATGCAGTTAAGACGGTTTCTTTACTTGACGACCTCTGTGTTCGAATCCCGGTGGGGGCAAATGTTAGTAAGATGAATACGAGCATTTTTACCTTAGTCATGGATGTTTATATATATTTCTGTATAAATATACTTTAATATGTATTTTATCCATTATCCTGTTATCCCATAACTAATTGGTGTGAGTGTGGGAAATATTATTATTATCTAGGTGTGTTTAATAATCAGAGGCTGATAGTGATAATGATGAATTTGTCGCCAGGGTCACGACCTCTTGAAGACCGTATTCGTGGTGTTCTTTCATGGAGAGCAAATCAAGTTGCGCGTGAAGAAGGTCTGCCACGGCTTCCAGGCGACCCTATATCCGTGCCCCGCCACCTTCAAGGAGCAGCAGGACATGCTGGGCGGCGTGGCGACGAGAATCCAGGACTTGGATATGGCATGTTACCCTTTTTGTATTTTAATTTGATAATCATTTATTGAAGGCTTCTAGTACCCATAAATACCAAAATTAGTTCCGGTCTTGGGCATGTTTTATACATGTAAAACTTACCAATCACTCACGTATATACGTCTACAGCTAAAAACTGCATTAAAATCCGCTGCATCTTTTTGGTGTGTATGCTGTTGATCGCAGATGACCTTTACAGCGTCACTGGATTTTAGGACGGCGAGATTCTAAAGGAAGGGAAGTTGAGAATTGACAAGTGCCTCTAGAGGTTTTTCAGGCGGATGGTATCTCCCCTCGTGGGAAGTCTCCTCTCTGTCCGAAGCCTCTAGGCCACTCGAACCTGAGGAGATAAAATCCGTTGCGCAGCTGAAACATTTAAGCGTACAGACAGAAGCAATGGCTTTGTATTTTACTATGAAAAAATAGGTATTATTCTTTGACTTGACATTCACAGACACTGTACACGTGACGTGGCTGTCTGTTCTGGCCAAAACCAGAATGATGTTTTTTCCGCGATTATTATTTATTGACAATACAAAATGTTCAATTGCAGGTTTTGGGGCAAACGGAACAACACAGACGACTAGTTCTTGCAAACATAGCAAGAGATATAAGTACGTGGATGATGGTGGTGAAGAAAGAGAAGGCGATATACCACACGATGAACATGTTCAGCATGGACATTGTGAAAAAGTGTCTCATAGCGGAGTGTTGGGTGCCTAAAAGTGATCTGCATATATTACAGCAGGCTTTGGAAGATGGGGTGGTAAGTTTATTACATAAAAGTTGAAATTATTGAGATTGATATTTAATTTTAGCTTTTGTCATTATTTTTGTTACTACAATAGTGTTTGTACATAATTTAGTAATTTAGTAAAATATATTTACATTCTATAGAAAACAAGTGGCAGTCCGATTCCATCGATTCTGCATCAAGTCCCAACGAGAGAAACGCCGCCGACCTTTAACAGGACCAATAAATTCACCAAGGGCTTCCAAAACCTTATTGATTCCTATGGAATCGCCAGTTATAGAGAAGTAAACCCAGGTAGGGATAACCTAATATAATATATCAACATCAAGTAACTTATCCTCCAAAATTAAGATTATGATTTTGCTTTAGATAATGTTATAAGGAACCTTCTTTGATCGTTTCTTAGAAATTTTTACTACTTTTGTAATTTTAGTTCTGTTGTTCGATTGATAAATAAACTAAGCAAAGCTGAAGACTTTCACCTTTTTTATTTTTACTTCACATTTCTTAAAGGTGATATGCATATGATTATCATAATAAGTATACACAGTTGTGCCTCAAATAACTTTTGCTTTTTCATCTGCAGCTTTGTATACGATCGTTACATTCCCATTCCTATTTGCTGTGATGTTTGGTGACGTCGGCCACGGCCTCATCATGACGATATTCTCTGCGATCCTCGTCATCTATGAGAAAAAATTCATGAAACTGAAATCTGATAATGAAATTTGGAATATCTTCTTCGGTGGCCGCTACATCATACTCTTGATGGGTATATTTTCGATCTACACCGGTTTGATATACAACGATGTGTTCTCAAAATCACTCAATATATTCGGGAGCAGTTGGAAAAATCTTTATGATAATGAGACTTTAAGCCGATTCGGGCTGCTCGATTTGGATCCTGCTGAGGCATACACACAAACGCCTTATCCATTTGGTTTAGATCCAGTTTGGCAGGTTTGTTTTATGTCGATATAACAACATCAAATTTAAAATTAATGTAATAAATGCCAAATAACGTGTTTATAATGTTTAAAAGTTGACATTTTGATAATTTTCTTATCTCTTTTCAGTTTGCATCAAACAACATAATATTTTTAAACTCGTTCAAAATGAAGCTCTCGATTATATTTGGAGTAATACATATGGCGTTCGGTGTGACATTGAGTGTGGTAAACTTCAAGTAATTATAAGTATTAATAGAATTAGTAATGGGCATTCTCTTCTACTGTTTGATATATCTCGATGTTTTCATCGTTTTATTTGAAGTACGGAATATTAATTATCTCATCTCGAGGACAATGATCTATAGATTACCTCAAAAAAATATGTACACATCATCCGCTTTTTTAACGAATGTCTTAACTAATTGGCAAAGTTTAAATTTCTATAGCTGCAATACTTAGACAATTTCTGAACTTCGTAAGATAAATTTAATTAATATTGTAGAATAATCATAATTTATCTTACTAAATCAATTTATCTAATATATCTCAACAAAGTTTCATTTTTCATTTTATAAACTAGAAAGAGTAATGTTCATTTTTTTTATTGTCATTGATGAAATTTTCAATTCTCTTGTAAGCTACAATTGACTTCGTAATAATATTATTAAGTTTTGGTGAATCAAACAGTGGAAAGTACAAGTGCTATGTACGTTGCTTTTGAAGCTTACTCTGATAATGAGGTGGATTTTTACAAAGATTATTTGATTGCAGCTTCTTCAAGAAACCGGAGATGATCTTCCTTCAGTACATACCGCAAATTTTATTCCTATTACTGCTCTTTTGGTATTTATGCATATTGATGTTCATGAAGTGGACCATGTACTCGGCAGTCGCTGATGGTAAGACGATAATGATTGATAATTTATTAAAATAATCTAGTATGGTAGCTAACATTATAACTTTCTTGACGTTAAAGATATTCATCCGTGACGCGTGTCTCAATAACAGGGATCCACCTATTTTAATGTTTAAGACAAATTTATATCTTGACACAAGTCGTTTTGCCTTATTTTATTCGATTCATAGCAATGTCTATGTATATATTGTTTTTAACTTTTATGGTCACCAACATTATAGCATTATAGGATTGTTACCATGTACCTTGTTTTTTATGAGTCTCCAATATTTCGGCTCTGTTGCAAGCGCCATGATCATGGAGTAACTGAAGTAATTGCGGGTATAATGGCCGACATATAGGTGTACCCTCTGACGTTGTCTTTTACTGCGCTCGATACCCCTTTATTCTACCCCCTTACATTTTCTATACTACATGCTTAAAAATTTTTTAAGCATGTACTGCTTTTAATAAAAAATAAAAATTATAACTATAATTGCTATCTCTTCTTTCAAATGTTTAACACTTGTAAAAGTATTCATTTGACATTGTGGGTTACCTAGAATGCGAAGAGATGGAGCTGTCTTGCAGCTTAGTTGGTCAGTGCATTCGCCCGGATAGCGAAGGATGCGGGTTCGAGTCCCGTCTGCTGCCTGGTCCGCGTGGATTTTTTTCTAGTTATATTTTCTTTAGGTTTAAACATCAAGCAGTTACATGCTTAAAAAATAAAAAATACTCAAATCCTGTCCAATATAATCAATGACTTCATCCCACTTTTAACTAGATCCCGCATACGGCACATCATGCGCCCCCTCAGTGCTGATAATCTTCATCAACATGATGCTGCTGAAAGAGAGCGAGAGCAAGCCTCCCTGCAGGCTGGAGATGTACGACGGACAGGACGCCTTACAGAAGACGTTCCTGGTGCTAGCGTATACTTGTGTGCCGGTGATGCTATTCGGGAAGCCGGTGTATTACATGATAGCTGCCAAGAAACGGAAGGTATTATTGTATTAAATGACTACCCTGTTAACCAAGCGATTGCTGATCCTAACTGCGAATCCAGCGGTCCCGGGTTAGAGTCCCGGAGACGCCAAATATTCGTGTGATAACCACATACATTTTCTTTCCTGACATGGATGTTTATATGTAATTATGTAATGCGGGATCATACTTTTTCGTTAGCCCATATTCAGAAGTACGAAACACATTTCTCGATGCAATAAAAAAAACGATGGGTTGCATGTGCATTTTTGATATTTTGGAATGGTTAGGGAATAATTTTGCACGAATTGCTTTAATTATCAGTATAAAAGTACTATCATGTAAGTAGTAGAATACAATATTTCTTTATTGCGCTATCGTACACAAACATGACAATTTATATTACATTAGAAGTTTATCTCTCAGAAAAATCAACTTACATGAATCACGTTTAAGCGCACTGAGCGACATCTATTGTGAAGAAATCAACTTACATGAATCACATTTAAGCGCACCTAGCGACATCTATTGTAAAAAAATGCATTTTCTTCGCAATAAAGCTGTCACGTAAACGTCCTAGATAGAGACTTATTATTATAATACGGTAAAATAAAATATTACTATGTTTCGTCCAATATATTGAAAGTCAACAACCTTTCCAATTTTATTGTGTCATGATGCGATCAGCCCACGTGTTTAACCTGACGCGAGTTTAACATTTTTTACCAATACAAAAAACGCCGCTAAAGAAGTTTTCACTTCAAAAAATGTCACGTTTGGTTACTGGGACACGGGCAAACTACTCTTCGCCAGCATTCCGGTTGGAACGCACATGATGCCAATTTTGGGGGGGTTATGCAACTTTGGGGGAAAGCATTTTTGGCGGATATTTGGGGGGAAAATATCTAGTACTACTGCTTGAATAGAAAATTCTGTCGGGTCACCAAAACGTACGTATCTCTCCAAATACGTACGTTGACTCCGCTTATACGAGCTAACAACAAGGGTATTTGCGCCTTGTATCTAGTCATAAAAGTTTATATAGAGAATGAGCTATACAGGAAGCTAATATTTCGATATAATAATGTATTTCAAATACATAAAATTTATAAAATAGACATTATGCAATCACTGTATCTTCATGCAAGATCTCTTCCCGCAGCGATACCAGCAAGGCGTAGAAGGTGGCGACGTAGCCGTAGACAAGGAGGAAGAAGGCATGGGCGAGCTGATGATCACGCAGGCCATCCACACCATCGAGTACGTGTTGGGCACCGTCTCCCACACCGCCTCCTACCTGCGCCTGTGGGCTCTCTCGCTCGCACACGCCCGTGAGTAGTGAGATAGCAACATTTCTTATGACATTAGTGTAGTGTCTTGTTTATTATTCACCCCGGCAGACTTCTTGAGCAACGAGCATAGACAAGGAAGACTGCGCAGTATTTTTTCTAATTAAATTTTCTATAGATTTAAGAGCAGTTTTTTGCCTATAATTGAAGGTTATGTCAGAGTCAACAGCTTGAAGCGGCCATTTCACCGCAGTGCCAACCACCCGAAGGAGTCAAAACTGCTCGAGTGGTCCGTGTGTATACGTAGCAGACTGTAGTTCACTATGCATAGGGATGTACTATGTATGTAAGGATTACGATTTCCTCAGCAGAATTAGTAAATCTAATCAAAAATAGTTCAGTCACCTTTGAATGACTGTGTATGGTTTCTGCCGCCCCTCACGCATGCCCTTATGCTATCGCAGCTTGAAACAGTCCATCTTGACTACTTCAAGTTGTCCGCGTATGATCTTAGAATTGTTAACGGAAACCGTTAGGTATATAGCTTCCTTGGGGGCAAATACTTTTTGAGGGTTATATTAAAGGTTTTGAATTCTCTGAAAGCTATCAGCGGTACTTTAGCTAGTGCTATTTGAAGAGTTAAATGAAGGTATTGTATTGTTTTAGAGCTGTCAGCGGTACTATGGCAGCGAGTACTGAAGATGGGCATGGGCAACCATCCAGTGATGTCAATCGGATTGTTCGTCATCTTCGGCGTGTGGGCGTTCTTCACGCTCGCGATTCTGGTGCTTATGGAGGGACTGTCTGCCTTCCTTCATACGCTGCGGTTACATTGGTGAGCATGTTTCTTTAAATTTATCTTCTACTCTTCTACATCAGCCTATGTCCACTGCTGGGGCACAGGCTTTTCCTATCGATGGAAATGATAAGATTGGGCCATGACACACCATACGGGCCTAGTGCAGTTTGGTGGGTACTAACTACTGCAGATGCACCCGGAGCCAACGACTTAACGTGCCTCAGAAGCACGGTGGAGCTGGAAGTAGAAAGTTTTTGTTAACCCATTCAATGACCTGCCATTGCGAAAGTAGCTTAACTAGATAATATTGTTTCTTTCTATCGTGTTTTCAAATTCTCAACTGACCAAATTACCAAATAAATCAGCAGGCCTAAATCTCTTTAGGGATATTAAATATCTAGCAGATACATTTACTCACACTCTTCCTCTTCTCCCTAGGGTGGAGTTCATGAGCAAATTCTACGAAGGTCACGGGTACGCATTCGCGCCGTTCTCCTTCGCCGGTATATTAGAGCAGGACAGCGAAGAGGATGCAGCCGCTGACGCAGCCGCTGCAGCAGCCAACAACAGTCCGCACGACTGACCCCGCCACTTCCACGAGTGGGGCCCGCCTCGCGAATACCAAGATCCTGAGCCGATCTCTGATGGACTTTACAGTGATTCTATATTTCCGACGGGTCAATGATGGGACTTTTTGATTATTAGAAACTTTATAAATAATGGATATTTAGACAATAGGATAGTAAAAAAAAATAAAAAATCTACTCCAACAATAGTCCACACGACTGACCCCGCCACTTCTCGCGATATACCATGATCCTGAACCGCTCTCTGATGGACTTTACAGTGATTCAATATTTCTGACGACAGAGACGAGTCAATGATGGACTTTTTAATAATGGGAATGTTATAAATATAAGAGTTTTTTTACAATAGGAACGTTACGTTACAAATGTTAAAGCTAACCGAACAATAATTCCCAATACTTACCCCATCACTTACGAACATTACAACTCTGTACAACTTTCTGTAACCTTAGTACGAGTTTGAGCTCACGAATACTATCATAGTTTTTGTAATTGTAAATTGTGTTTCTATGTCCGTTTTGGTGAAAAGTAACCAAATATACTTGAAATTTAAGAAGACGCAAATTATTTATTGATAGAATTTAAACAAAAAAAAACAATAAAATCAGTACCCTTAGTACGAATGCGAACTCACGAAAACTCACAGTTTTCGTAATTGTAAAATTCATACTAAGGGTACTGATGGACTTAAGAGTATTTCTTCATTTCCGATGTCAATCAATGATGGGATTCAGTCTCTATCGTCGGCTGTAATGATAAACTTTTCGATAACTGAAACTTTATGCCTATGGCTTGCAGTCTGCCATTTCATGCTGTTAGTAATAATTAATAAATGATGTACTTTTTGACAAAATGAACACAGGAAATAGCAAAGCTATCCCAACAACAGTCCGCTCGACTGGCCCTGTAACGGGTCAATAATGGGTATTCTTTGATATTGAAAACGTTATAAATGAACTTTTTGATAGTATTACACTAAACACAGGTACGCCATTTACTGCTAATAATAATAAGGAATAAATAATTAAACGGATAAATGATGAACTTTTTGACAATATAAATTTCTTCTGAGTCAACTTTCCAAAATTTTTATTGAATAAAAATGAATGAAATAATAAGGTTTTTAATATTTTGAATTTAAAAGCACTCTTTTATAAAAAAAATATAATAAGTTATTTTAAAAGTGGTGAACGCGTTCGGTCAGTGAAATAACTAAAAAAATACTTTTTAAATGTAAATTACATTTTGGGAAATTAATACCCAAAAAGTTATTGATCTTCCTATCAACGAATATCAGTTAACTGAAATCATTGTAAATAAAACTATAACAAGAAAACGTCAAAATATAAGGGATTTTTGTTATAATAATTAAATTCATTATATAATAGCATTCACTGTAATTTTATTAACACTCATTTAGTCGCTAGCAATATCTGCCTTAGCAATAATGAAGCTAGTAGAAAATATTGAACTAAGTATTTTAAAAAGTCTAGAGAGATTTTACAAAGTAGAAAATTAAATGTTTCTCAATTTTGACTCTTAAGTTTTTATTATGTACCTAGTTTAAGATTTGACTATGAACCAAAGACATTAATAGTACATTACTACAGCGGCCAGCAAAAGAGGCATTGATGGACGAACGTGTAAACGTGGGCCGAGGCGAAGCCGAGAAACACACATACGTAAGTCTATCAATGCCTAGTTGTAACCAAGGCTTGTATAGTACTTTTCTCAAATAATGTACGGAAATAAAATTCAAAATTCAATATCGTTTATTCAGTCTAGGCTATAACAAGCACTTGTGAATGTCGAAAAGCTACGCCATCGGTTCGCAAATCTACGGCGGGAGACCTTGTACTGAGAAGAACCGGCAAGAAACTCAGCAAGGGCTGTTTTTTTCTCCCTGTATTTATATACAGAGTCGTCAAATTGAAAAATGACTTCAATATGAGGTAACTCATAAATAAAACTAGGTAGTACCTAGACAGAACCTTGGAAATTCTTGAAAATCAACGGCGTACACCAATTTTTTTCCCGTGTAAATGTTCTGTTGTTTTTCTTTTCATAAACAGCCAGCTTGCTATTTCCAAATCCAGTTCGAAGTTTGAATAAGACCTGTGATAAGTTCCCTCCTTGGTATGAGGTTACTATGGTTGCTTTCCAATAACAGAGCATAATGCGACTCAGTGCCGCACAATGCCGAATTATGCTGATGCTTAATTGGAACGTGAATTAGTTTTCAAATGCACCAGCAGAGTGCGCTAAGTTCAGTGTTGAAAAAAAAAGTCAATGTTTATACCTTCATCCATATTTATATTTAATTTTTAACATAGTTTGAATTAACTTTGATTATTTATAAAAAAACTATGATGAAACGAAAGTTTTAATAATTTTTCAACAATAAATAATATTACTAACGATAACTTATTAAATAAAACATTTCGATCAATGCCAACTTAAAGAAAAAACACTTGTTAATTTCCTGTCTCTAAGTTGGTACCATTGCACGCATCACACGAAAGCATCACTTTTGAGAGTGCTCAATTGTGCGAAGCGTTGCTGTAGTTGGAACACTCAACGTTAAGCAATTTGCCGCATAATGCGCTATAATGCTGTAATTGGAAAGCTACCTATGTAATTTATTTGGCTGCCAAACACGATAGACATGGATTTTCATATAATTTTACCGGCCGCTGCTCGCATGTATGTGGCCAGTACAGTAATTTTGATTTATCTCAAAGAAGGTTGTCAAAATAATGCTTACATTTCCAAGCATGTTTGAGATAAGTACGTATACATTATAGGTACCTACATTTAATTAAAATATCTTTGTGAATAACAAATCTTGAAATGCCAATATTTTTTTCTATCTATAAGCCATTGAAAATGTAAATATCAGCAAAACATTTATTTTGATTGTGAGTATCCGTAAGTTTGAAGACGGGCATTGCACCATTGATTATATAGACTTTTTGTCTGTTTTTCTGTGACTTTAATTAAACGTGAAACTTTTCGAATCCTTTTTTAAACGCAAAGATCCAAAAATTTCGTGTACAGGGATGATGACTAATTCTTTTTCTTTCAGGTAGATTATCAAAAAGTATTGGACACGTATTTTTTCTTTTTTCACACATGATATAAACATTTCAGAGATATATTGATTTGAAAATTCGCATGACGTCACGTTTTACAATTAAACAAGTACAATTTTCACTCAAAGATGACGTCACGAGCCCCTACTCCCAAACTTTGACGCGCTGTAACTTTGTCATTTTTTGGTTGATTGCCCAAAGAAAAAATACGTGTCCATTATTTTTTGATCATCTAACTGACGGACTCAATAGAATTTCGTTTACTGTACCCCGTCATCACCCCTATTTAATTTCCAGTCGCAATTTATGTCAAAATGTTGACATATAACATGACATGACATATATATGTACAGGGTTTTTCGGAAAATATAAATGGAAGCCCTGCAGCCCAGCTCGTGGAGGAACATTGTTAAAAGAATTATTGGTTTCATAAAATAACGATTATTGTGTTATAGAATGCAGTTAAAGAAATGTAAATAAACGTTTACTTTAATTAATAATTAAACTATGTTATTGTGATAATAATAAGCATATAAGTATGAATTCTCGCGAATAATCTAATATAATATTTTTTTGACGATTGACAGCTAAATACTCAAACATTTGTATTAAAAATTATGTCGTGTTCCAGATTTTTTTTCTGGCATTTGAAATTTACAGATTAGATAGGTTATAAGGTTAATATGCCTTAAAAGTTTGTTTATTTGGCTAATATCATAATAATTAAATCATTATGTTTAAGCGTTTTGTTTAAGTGTACTGTTAAGAAATTTGTTATTTTATTTTTATTGTTAATTTGTATCAATCGTGTTCAGTTGAAAGATACCTAATTAATATGTTAAATAGCATGTTTGTTGATAGTTGCAACAATAATACTGTGTATAACTTAGTGCCTTTGTATTTTAAAAGCAGATTTTGAGACCATTAATATGAGCCTAGTATTAACTTCTTACACATTTATATCCTGTATTTTACATTATTTAGATATACAAATGAATTTGAAACTTTCATCGGTTTTGCACAGATGATATTAGTGCCTTATAGTAATTATTAACTAAAATATTTTTAGCAAAGTCAGGCTTTTTTCACATTGGCAACATATCTTGCTTCTGGTGTTAGGCGCGTTTTTCCACATGGAGCTGGAACATTCTATAGCGTTTTGTTAATGCATATTTTTTTCAAATGCTGTATTTTTATATCATACCATCTATAATCCTAAAGTAGAAATTTGTTTCTCCTTTTCTCTAATATATTTTACAGATACTTTGTGGGGAAAAATATCGTGATCAGTAACCCTAGCTCGAACCATTATCGAATTCGAATAGTTTGCAAACCGAAATGTCAATGTCAAATAATAATAATAACATTTCCAATAATCACACCAATCAGCCTAGCCCCAAAGTAAGCACTGGAAGGCTTGTAAATTTTGTATGGAAACTTGAACAGCAGCGGCACAAAGTACGTAACGAGAACTAAAAATCAGTACACATTTGACAATGACATTTCGGACTCGCAAACGATACGAATTCGATTTTGGTTCGTGCTAGGGGTACTGTTCCAAGTGGCTTTATAATCGGCACTCATAAAAAGCATAAAGCAAAAGTTTATATATCATATCAAAGTGGGAAAAGCCATAATTCCAGTATATGGCCTTCTAAAACCTTGTATCGACTAGCCAACACTTGACGCTTAACACAAGGCTCAACATGTGCGGCAACGTCCCACAAAAGCGCGGAACTTCTACTATTAGGCGCTTAGCAGATGACGGGGCGGGGCGGGCTTTTTGTCCGCGAAGCAATAAAGACCGCGTCTGCCCGTCGATGTCTGCGGCTGCCCGCGCTGCGTACACAAAGCACACGACGGGCAGAGGCGGTCAGTTCAGGACGTTCGTTCTAGTGAATAGTCCATCACTAAAAAGCGCGTGGCGCGGACTGAGCTGACCGCCCCGCGCCGCCGTCTGCGTTACTGCATATAAACTGGTTTGTATGATCCACGGCGGGCAGCCGCGGACATTCCCACAGCCGGGCACCCAAGGCGCGGTCTTTTTGCCCTCTGTGTGCGTTTGTAGTATAGGATTCACTTTATGCTATCGTTCGCGACGAAATTGACCGGCCCGCCCCGCCCCGTCGTCTGCTAAACGCCTTAAAGTATGGACATGTTGCGCACCACTTGGCAATGTTGCGCGTTGTACTGCAACGTTGTCGAAAATGTTGAGCGTCATTTGTTGCGCGCCAATTGTTGCCTTGTGGATACAAAGATTTAACACAGCTAATATATTCATATCAAAGAAACAGGAGTTGTTATAAATGAAAAGACAATAGGTAATTGTAAAATCTTACGAACTTTATTGAATCTTCATCTACAAATTACGCTCACAGCACATAATATTACACGAAAATATTGACATCAAGTAGAAAAAGAACGGACATAATGTAACGACACAAATTTTATAATTTTTCACCATTCCTCAGCAATAAAAACCGAGTTATACCCGAATTTTGAGTCTTATTTTAATGACCTGATCCTCCTATACGATATTTTGTGGTCTTTCAATATTTACAGCATATTTTCCGTTATGTTTTCTCAAGCAATGCAGTTTAGACTTTTCTCTATTAAAATTTTATCGCAGGCACATTATAGGTACAAATATGTCAGACATAATTACCGTTAGAGCAGAAATTCAAATCTTTGCTTTTGAGTAATTATAACTCTAAAGGTAATTATTTAGAAATAGTGCCAAAAATGTTATAATAATAACGATTACAATACACTCTTAGCTAAAACACATTTAGGATATTATATTTATTTAAAAAAATCTGTATAAAATTGCAACATCGAATAAATGCTAATTTTAGTAAATATATTATCGAGAGATACGAATAAATACGATATGATTCTTGTGTTAATTATGTAGACCATAAATAGAAATAAATATCTTTTTTAAATATTTAAAACTAATGGAGTGTTCTGTATATGCACAGTGACCTAGTCTTTATATCCTTTAAATTACAATTATATCTCTAATTTATAAAATTCATAAATTATAAGTGGACTTTTGAGGAAAGAGTATTTTTTTGTCAAACAAAATATATACTTAAAAAAATCTCACATACCGGATTTGTTTTAGACTCGCCCCGTGTATGTTTTCAAGAAAAATAATAAATTAAGCGGATTAGCCCTTAATTAATAAAGAAAATCTGAGTGCCCAATCATTTCTTAACCACCTAGGCATAGTATTAACAAATTTTACAAAATTCCACGCAAGTTAGTCCTGTAAAGAAACACTATGAACAAAATGAAAAGCATTAAATACAAAAATAATTAGTTAGTTGTCCACTAAAGCAATTATTTAGTTCCACCGGAGCACATGCTTTGTACACAGTACAACCTACCAAATTTAATAAAATAATGGTGTCAATTCTGGCTTGCTTTTCCAAACTTTAAACTAAATCTAACATCATTCTCTCCTTTCCATTCTGCATAGTGAATAACAAGGATACACTATTATCAAATTTAAGTTTAGGTTTAGATAATCATACCAGAATCGACACCAATATCTATTAAACATTCACCATCTGTGAACAAGTAATGCTCACCATTTTAACAGCACTATTTAAACTCATACACCAGTAAATATCAACACATTTGTGTTTCACTGTTTTAAATTTACTCAAGTCTGATTTGTAACAAAATTAATCTTCAGCAATTACATGCCATTCCAATTGTCCAGTCCATCTAATTCTTTCTACTATCAACGAGTCTTGACAATTTCGAAACATCTTTCATTGTGTCACAACACTTGAAATTTATCCCGCCGTCCCGAACACTTTGAGATGTCCATTTCCGAAATGCGTCCTTATAACTAAGCACATCGTCAAAAATTGCGTAAACTTCACAAAGGATTAAAAGTTCATCTGGGGCTGTTTGAGACTCGCCAGCATCGTATAAACCATAGACATAAAAAATGGACTGTGGGCACAAAATAGTTGTGCATACCGGCACTCGCACGAGATTGACAACTGTGTAGAACAGTAACTGGCAATTTTTTTCCTCTTTTCTTGTCGTACCAATTACTATAAGAATCTATGGTAGACCACGATTTCCACCCCCCTAGACAAAGTAATCAAATCAAAATATAGTTCTGCTCAGCTAAGTGAATAAGTGTAAGAACTTGTGACGAAATAGTATTTTTTTGAAAGCACCTTTGAATTTTATTTTAAGGCCACGGGCCCGATTTTCAAACAGTCGGGAGCCGCAGATGGCCCGCGAGCCGTAGTTTGCCCATCCCAGATTTAGAAAGATAACAGCCGCCATTAATTATATTCTCACATCAAACATCATCCTGTTTAATTTTAAATCCGAAGCAAATATTTACTAGACAAAATTCCACTCGAATTTGCCTGGACCAAGAGGTTTTTTGAAGTAAAAAAATTCTTCAGCTACCATTAAGTTTGAATCGCACTCTAGACACAATCAGAACCAGCACTTCTCTTCTAGCTCAGACGCTCAGATTGTTGACTGTTTTACTCGACAGTTGGTTGAAACGCGCAGCGGCTATTGTCTAAGGTAGATATAATATACTTGTCGGGGCACATGCGCAGATAAAACAGCGTTCGCAACGACTTGTGACGCGGGCAACTTTTTCAATTCTTTTCTATAGCAACCTTCAGGTCAGTCTTCTAGCTTCTAGCCGATTCGTCTCGTGCCCAATTTTCTTTAGAACATGAGTTAGAGAACGCGCAGTCTATACCTATGGTAGATGCAATGTCCATACTAAATGTCTAGGGTAGATACGATGTGCTTGGCAGAACACACGCGCAGATGGCGTTCAAGCGTCGCGTAGCTTCCGAAGCAGCGCACGCAACGCTTTGTGTCGGCGCTAGGAGCAGCCGTGGCGCTGCATCCAAGTGGAGTAACGCGCGACGTCGGCCTGAGAGACCGTGCGTCGTGTCTTCTCCATAGCGGCCTCCAGGTCGGTCTTTGACACCGGCGCTTCCAGTTCTGACCGCTTCAGCTTTCGGATCTGGTCGGGACTCTTGCCGGCGATCTTCTGGCGCATCGTCATCATCGCTGCGTCTCTGAGAAGTTCAAGAGAGATCAAGTAGAGTCACTGTTTGAATTTTTCATATTTTTTTTTGACACATGGTCTTTGTTCGAACAAATCAATTGAGTTGAGAAAAAACACTTCATTTCTAGTTATAATTTTAATTTTTTAAGCATGTAACTGCTTGATGTTTAAATCTAAAGAAAATATAATTAGAAAAAATTCCACGCGGACCAGGCAGCAGACGGGACTTGAACCCGCACCCTTCGCAATCCGGGCGAATGCACTGACCAATTATGCTACCGCGGCCCTCACGGACCGCGTCGAAATTCTTCTAGCTATTCTTATGCTGCAAGGCAGCGCCATTTCTTCGCATTGTAGGTAACCCACAATGTCAAATGAATACTTTTACAAGTATTAAACATTTGAAAGAAGAAATAGCAATTATAGTTATAATTTACCCGGATTGCGAAGGGTGCGGGTTCGAGTCCCGTCTGCTGCCTGGTCCGCGTGGAATTACTTCATTTCTAGTACAAAAAACAACGTGAAATAGTGTAATCTAAGCTTATTTCAATATTCAATCACTCGCTAATAGAGATTACCTGCAGAAGTTGCAAATGACGGAGCCGCTGAACCCGTTTGGTTTCTAAACCTGCAATAGCGACATATTGTCCCCCAGTCTCATTAGCGGGAACTCAGGTTCGATAACTTCATTCCCTCGCTAATAGGGATTACCTGCAGAGATTGCAGATGTCGGAGCCGCGGAACCCGTTTGGTTTCTAAACCTGCAATAGAGACATATTGTCCCCCAGTCTCACATTAGAGGGAACTCAGGTCCGATAACTTCATTCACTCGCTAATAGGGATTACCTGCAGAGGTTTCAGATATCGGAGCCGCTGTACCTATTTTGTTTCCAAACCAGCAATAGCTACATATTGTCTTCCAGAGTAGAGTCGCGTTCAGATTCAGCAATAGCGACATATTGTCCCCCAGTTTCACATTAGCGGGAACTCAGGTCCGATAACTTCATTCCTTCGCTAATAGGGATTACCTGCAGAGGTTTCAGATGTCGGAGCCGCTGTACCCTTTTAGTTTCTAAACCAGCAATAGCGACATATTGTCCCCCAGTCTCCTTAGTGGGAACTCAGGTCCAAAGACTTTATTCCCTCGCTTATAGGGATTACCTGCAGAGGTTGCAGATGTCGGAGTCGCTATACCACTTTTGGTTTCCAAACCAGCAATAGCGACATACTGTCCCCCAGTCTCACATTAGCGGGAACTCAGGTCCGATAACTTCATTCCCTCGCTAATAGGGATTACCGGCAGAGATTGCAGATGTCGGAGCCGCTGTACCCTTTTAGTTTCTAAACCAGCAATAGCGACATACTGTCACCCAGTCTCTCATTAGCGGGAACTCAGGTTCGAAAACTTTATTCACTCGCTAATAGGGATTACCTGCAGAGGTTGCAGATATCGGAACCGCTGTACCCATCCAGCTTGCAGGCCAGGTCAGATAGGGACACGTCATCTCCAAGCACCACGTCTCGAAGGCACAGGTTCAATAACTTAACTCTTGTCGATTCTGCCCAAGAAAAAGTTTTGATAGTCATCGTTCAAAAGTTAACGATATTTTATGTTATTCAAAACTTAACGTTTAGCTGTTGTTTCCCAAAAATTTCTACAACGACTACATGTACGTAAGTGGACTTACACTTAGCATCAGATGAGGTGATAATTTTCTGCGATTTGTATAACATTATTTTATATACCTTTGCCCGTGATTCAACCATATGTAATGCTGACTTCGAAGTTTAGTATACGATTGCGTCTTATACAAATAACAGTAAAAAGTAAACAGAACCCTTAGCACGTACCAATATCGAATTCGAATAGTTTGCGAGTCCGAAATGTCATTGTCAAATGTATATTGATTTTTAGTTCTCGTTACATACTTTGTTGCGCTGCTGCTCAAGTTTCAATACAAAATTTGAAACTGACATTTGGCACTCGCAAACTATTCGAATTCGATAATGGTTCACGCTAGGAGTACAGGTATTTCAAACTATCTATACTGTGTATACGTGTCAAAAAGATAATGGCATAAAGTGAATAATTTATGATCATACCATCAGGAAGACCAATGTATATTCTCTTTTCGAATCTTCTCCTGAATGCCTCGTCGATATCCCACGGGTGGTTTGTAGCTGCCAGGACCATTATGATCTTGTCTCGATTGCTGGAAACATACTTAATTCATGACAAATAAACTTCGTAGGATGTCTACAATTTCAAAGAAGGCTTTTAAGCTCGTAATCCGGCTTACGTCTTATCAAATTACTGATGATCATCGGATACGAATAGTCAAAAACCAGGAATCAATATATCTTTATTCAAATTTGATGTTGAATCGTCCATAATTTTTTTGTCCCCACCACTCCATATTGGACATATTTTTTAGCTGCGGAGAAAAACCAGCGAAAAAACTCCACAACATTAAAAGTATAATGTAATATTTACCAATGATTGGTGTCGATTCGGGCGTGATTCTCTAAACTTAAAACTTAATTTAACATCAGTTTCTCCTTTTCATTCTGTATAGAGAATGACAAGGATACACTGTTGTCAAATGTAAGTTTAGATTTAAAATTTTATAGAGAATCGTGCCAGAATCGACACCACTATGTTGTTAGTTCGATCTCGATGTGCGTAAAATGTCAAGAAGTTTTGTATGGAAGATTTCTAACTCTAGTCACGTCCGTTGTGGTGCTGTTATATGGAAGATTTCTAACTCTAGTCACGTCCGTTGTGGTGCTGTTATATGGAAGATTTCTAACTCTAGTCACGTCCGTTGTGGTGCTGTTATATGGAAGATTTCTAACTCTAGTCACGTCCGTTGTGGTGCTGTTATATGGAAGATTTCTAACTCTAGTCACGTTCATTGTGGTGCTGTTATATGGAAGATTTCTAAATCTAGTCACATCCGTTGAGGTGCTGTTATATGGAAGATTTCTAACTCTAGTCACGTCCGTTGTGGTGCTGTTATATGGAAGATTTCTAACTCTAGTCACGTCCGTTGTGGTGCTGTTATATGGAAGATTTCTAACTCTAGTCACGTGCGTTGTGGTGCTGTTGTATGGAAGATTTCTAACTCTAGTCACGTCCGTTGTGGTGCTGTTATATGGAAGATTTCTAACTCTAGTCACGTGCGTTGTGGTGCTGTTGTATGGAAGATTTCTAACTCTAGTCACGTGCGTTGTGGTGCTGTTATATGGAAGATTTCTAACTCTAGTCACGTCCGTTGTGGTGCTGTTATATGGAAGATTTCTAACTCTAGTCACGTCCGTTGTGGTGCTGTTATATGGAAGATTTCTAACTCTAGTCACGTGCGTTGTGGTGCTGTTGTATGGAAGATTTCTAACTCTAGTCACGTCCGTTGTGGTGCTGTTATATGGAAGATTTCTAACTCTAGTCACGTGCGTTGTGGTGCTGTTGTATGGAAGATTTCTAACTCTAGTCACGTGCGTTGTGGTGCTGTTATATGGAAGATTTCTAACTCTAGTCACGTCCGTTGTGGTGCTGTTATATGGAAGATTTCTAACTCTAGTCACGTCCGTTGTGGTGCTGTTATATGGAAGATTTCTAACTCTAGTCACGTCCGTTGTGGTGCTGTTATATGGAAGATTTCTAACTCTAGTCACGTCCGTTGTGGTACTGTTATATGGAAGATTTCTAACTCTAGTCACGTGCGTTGTGGTGCTGTTATATGGAAGATTTCTAACTCTAGTCACGTCCGTTGTGGTGCTGTTATATGGAAGATTTCTAACTCTAGTCACGTGCGTTGTGGTGCTGTTGTATGGAAGATTTCTAACTCTAGTCACGTTCATTGTGGTGCTGTTATATGGAAGATTTCTAAATCTAGTCACATCCGTTGAGGTGCTGTTATATGGAAGATTTCTAACTCTAGTCACGTGCGTTGTGGTGCTGTTATATGGAAGATTTCTAACTCTAGTCACGTTCATTGTGGTGCTGTTATATGGAAGATTTCTAAATCTAGTCACATCCGTTGAGGTGCTGTTATATGGAAGATTTCTAACTCTAGTCACGTGCGTTGTGGTGCTGTTATATGGAAGATTTCTAACTCTAGTCACGTCCGTTGTGGCTCTGTTCAAATTTCCAAACAAAACTTCTTGACATTTGTCGCACATAGAGATGGAATTCAACTATTCAAAATCTAAGGGTACAATACCCCTAGCACGAACTAATATCGAATTCGAATAGTTTGCGAGCCCGAAATGTCATTGTCAAACGATTCGAATTCGATATTGGTTCGTGCTAAGGTTACAGAACAACTGGTGGTTTCGATACTGTTTCAATGAAGTGAGTGTAATCTACGCCATATTTGTTTTGGATTTCATAAAATTAACTCAGAAATTTAACAACTTCCCGTGCATGATTCATAATGATAAGATCAAACGCAAAATCAATATTGACCTATTCCTCGGTACAAGCTCAATGATCCGGTACTTATATTCTCATCGGTAAATTTTCATAAAGCGCCAGCCAGCCATCGAAGTGAAAAATTGCATTAAGTTAATGCCAATGGTAGGCACCCTACCTGTACAATCAGCTAAATAGTATGAAGTCACCCTTCTCTCAATGCTGACAATGCCGTACAATTCACAATGCCAAATGCACAAATTCCTATAATGCCTTACAAAGCAGCGGAGAGGCCGTCCATCTGTATTAGAAGCTCGGCCTTGAACCGCCTCGAAGCCTCGTGTTCGGAGTCAGCGCCACGCATCGCGCACAACGAGTCCACTTCATCCAAAAATATCGTGCTGGGCGCATAAAAGGCCGCCTGAGAGAAGAACAATACAAATTTTTGAGCAAAAACCAATTGAGGAGCTATCTATCAGCCTATTAATGTCCCCACTGCTGGGGCACAGGCCTTCCCTATGGATGGAATAGGGAGATTGGGCCATGACCCACCACGCGGGCCCAGTGCGGATTGGTGGGTGCTAACGACTGCAGATGCAGCCGGGACCAACGGCTTAACGTGCCTTCCGAAGCACGGAGGAGCTCGAGATGGTAAATTTTTGGTCACCCACCCAATGACCGACCACTGCGAAAGTTGCTTAACTTCAACGATCGCAGCCGAACGCGCTAACCACTTGCTCTATCAAGCTACAAAATGGTATAATTCCATAAAATTAAATTTTACAGGAGCTGTATTAAACTGAATGACATACCTACAGTGAGGTTTTGGCATGGTTTTTAATTTATAAATTTAGTAATTTTAACACTGTTTCAGGTGGTTTTGATTGAAATTTATTTGGGATTCAAATTTAACGAGCCCGAAACCTTCGGACTGTAAAAACAAGTAGTTGGACCAGATGCGTTTTCTTCGCCATCTCCTCAATTTGAAGATTCGGAAAACCCCTATTTCGGTCATCAGTGTAAAATATTAACTTCAATGTTATCAGTAAACGGAGTGGTTTTGAATAACTTCATTTCTATAACACACATGGCCTAACTACTTTAGAGGACATCAATCATACATCCATACGTTTTGATTTTTTATTTATCGTTATCAATGTTGCCACTTCTAGGGCACATGACTTCCCAATAGATGAAGATATAGGACAAACCACGATCCACTACAAGAGTCTGGTGAGGACTAATGGCTTGAGGTACCTTCCGAGCAGACCCGTCTTTCCCAGTGGGCACTTTGGGCAAGTGCCCAGAGCCCCGTGATCGATAGGTGGGCACCTTAGATCACAAATACAAAGTCCCTAGTTCTTGTTAGATCACCAAACGGGGGTCATAGGGGCCCCATTATCCTAATATGCCCAGGGCCGCCAATAGGTCAAAGACGGCACTGCTTCCGAGGCGCGTGCTCAAGGCCATTATTTTATTGGTCACCCAAATTATGACGGAACCACTAACCACCTGTGCCATCAAGCTCCTAAAATGTTTTATATACACATACAATTTTACTGTATTTCAATACCGAAAAAGCATCATGGATTTCATATACTATCCTAATGCTGAAAAATAAATGAAGCATACCATATCAAACAGCAGTCGTACGAGTTTCTCAGAGTCTCCTCTGTACTTGGATGTGAGCGTCGCCGAAGACACGTTGAAGAATGTGGTCTTGCACTCTGTAGCCACTGCTCTCGCCAGCAGAGTTTTGCCAGTGCCAGGCGGGCCCGTGAGTAAGACGCCTTTCCACGGCCTTCGGATACCCTGGAACAGGCAAGATTTCTTTGTTAGAATTAGGAAATTACTCCTGCTGGTGATAATTGGTAAAGTGCTAACGCGAAGATATGTGCAACAATGTTATCAAATGATATAACAAAGTAACTGGTGATAAGTGGTACACTCCTAACTCGAAGATGTGCAGAATCATCATCATCATCATCAGCCTATTAATGTCCCCACTGCTGAGGCACAGGCCTTCCCGGTGGATGGAGTAGGGAGATTGGGCCATGACCCACCACGCGGGCCCAGTGCGGATTGGTGGGTGCTAACGACTGTAGATGCAGCCGGGACCAACGGCTTAACGTACCTTCCGAAGCACGGAGGAGCTCAATAGTAATTTTTGGTCACCCATCCAATGACCGACCACTGCGAAAGTTGCTTAAGTTCAACGATCGCAGCCGAACGCGCCAACCACTTGCGCCATCGAGCTCCTCAACAACAACATGTGCAGAATGTTATGGTATATTATATCAAAGTACCTAACCTTGCCGACCTTAACACAGGCAGGTATACCATATGCCAGGAAGTTCTGATAATGATGAATTCATCATTATCATCAGCCTAATGTCGTTTCTGGGGCACACGCTTTATACGTGGACGCTGTAGGAAAGTATGGGAGAACGTGCCAAATCCATCCACCTGTAGTACGAATTGGTGGGCGCATACCAATTTTTGGTCACCCATCCTATGACCCATTGCTAAAGTGGCTAATTTCTAGGATCGTACACCGAACGCATTCTGCTCGAGGAGAGCAAAGCGTCTAAATGGTTACGACTCAATGATTTTTGTAAACGAATACTGGTTGTGAAAAAAATATTTTAAGTCGTAGCAGAATGTATTTCATATCTTCAATATTGTTTACTAACATATTGATTGAAACAAGCAAAAAATTACAAAATGAAAAATTATGCTCGTACGTGCCTCCATAACTTTTGGCCTCATTTCTGTTTCGCCTTAGTCCTTTACACATTAAGTGCAATTTCTCTTGATAAAGAAAATTCCAAAAAACGTTCGCACTTACGCCGTGAGCAAATAAGTACTCCGAGATAATATCGCACACGCGAACAACTAATATAAATTAGGCTAGTCGAGCGAGTTTGAGGTAATAGCTGGACTCAAGATTCAACGGCTGATAGTGAAACCTAGGTTTACGAAAACGGGTAAGGGCTACGCAAAAGCTACGTAACACTCTCAAAGCAAGATGACCTTTTCGTCGTTTTACTATCTAGTCTAGAACAAACAAAATCTATTTAAATGACATCAAAAAAATTGCCTTATTATTTTTGTAAAAGCTAAATTTGTAATATATTTCATGGGGAATTCTGTTGTAGTTTTCACATTCCTATTTAGCTGACGTTTATGTTTCCCATATCTACCACATATTACCTATATAAATGTGACATTTACTATTAATTTGTAATCTTAATAAAATTACTAAGTCACTTTGAAATATCAAAATTACCTCGGGGCCTATGATACTTACAAATAATGTGGAAATTCGATAAAAGAAGTTTCAAAATCGGTTCAGTAGATCTAGAAACTTACAAATAAAATAAATATTGGTGTCAATTCTAGCATGATTCTCTAAACCTAAACTTAAATTTGACAGCAGTATATCCTTGTCATTCTTTATACAGAATGAAAAGGAGAGACTGATGTTAAATTTAGCTTTAAGTTGAGAGAATCACGCCAGAATTGGCACCATTGTATAGATAATAACAAGATTATGAGATTTATAAAATGACAGCTAGTACAATCTACAAGATGAAGTAGTTATACGATAATATTACGCACCTTAAAATAATCAGGCATGACGAGCGGCAAAACCATGGCTTCTTGTAGAACTGACTTCGCGTCTTCCAACCCTATCACATCTTTCCAACGCACATCAGGATTTTTCTGCAGAATATCTCTTTCTAAAGTCTCCACCAAATGCAACTCGTATCCTGTCGCGTCGAAGACTTTCTCGTCTCTTTCTAGAAGAGCAACGTCTCCTTCTGAAGGCACGTCGGTCTTTCGAACGGTGGGTTTGATCGGTGCTAATTGGCGTATCCTCTGCCGAGGCATGCGCTCGACCGAACGACATTTTCTGCCGCTACCGACTGACGTGGACGAAGTTTTACGGGTTACAATGGAAGGTAGAGTTGGTTGGATGTCAGGATCCCGCCGGCGAAGTGTGCCCGCCCATTTCTCCGTCGTAGGATCGGTTTGTTTGTTTTGGTCCGCTTGCGACATTTGGAATGTGTTCGCTTGCGTGGGCTTGACGACTGAAATATAGTACTTGATTAGAAATGTCTGGGTTTAATAGAGTTACTCAAAGGTGTAATTGTGCAAATTACTTTTTAGGTTTCTGGGAGGCTATTACAAAAAATGTTTCTTCGATAAACTATAAATCCATTTATTTCACTTCTAGTAACGTTACGTAAACTCGTCATGGATACATGTATAGTTCCAAGCCTAACTTATGGCAGCCAAACATGGACATTCATAAATAAAATAAAAAGTAAAATCAAAACATGCCTGCGATCAATGAAACGAAGTATGCTTAAAATAAGAAGATACAAAAAATTGTCAGTGAAGTCATAAGGAGGAAAACTAGGCTCACAGATGCTCTTGAACAAGCTTTGCGACTTAAGTGGAAATGGGCTGGTCATTTGTCAAGGCACACAGACAAGAGATGGTCTTTACAAGCTACTAAATGGGCAGGACCTGCTGGAAAAAGAAACAAAGGCAGTCCACTAAAACGTTGGTCTGACGATATAAAAGACATAGCAGGTAGAAACTGGTTGGAATTTTCCTGGAATAGGGATAAATGGAAGGAATTAGAGGAGGCTTTTACCCGAAAGAGGTTCGTATAAAAGGAACAGCAAGAAAAATCTCTTATCTATTAGACAAGTCCGTCCGTCCGTCCGTCTGTGGTGCTGTTTCAGCGGCCAAATCGTAAGAGATAGATAAAGAGAATATTTAAGTTATAAGTTAAGAATAGTCTGATAAGACTACAAACCGGATTTGAGTAACGTAGCACTTCCGGTTTTCGAGAAATCACGAATTTCAAACGAAACCACACAAAATCTCGGAAGTTCTCAATTAATTAAATCATTAATTAATTAAGAAATCTACTAATATTTTGAATTGTATACATACTTTCATACTGAAATAAATAAAGCTTTATTATTATTATTATAACGTTACGTAATATCCCTCCCAAAATTGGATGATCCAATCCGTATTACGACTTATTTTGGCCCAAATTAACTATAGCTACCAATGGTAGCTATAGTTAATTTGGGCCAAAATAAGTCTGGTAAATGGTAGCCTACCATATTAAACCTAATATTTAAAGAAACAATTATGGATGCAAAATTCTATCTGCAGGCCTCGTAAATATCAACTTGCGACCGCAACGCGACTCGCGATTAGCTTTTTCTGTGCTCTCGTTGCGTTCTCTTTCATTTTACATTACGAACTGTCATAACTCTTTGACGCATTCGTTTTAATTAAGACCTTATACAATATGCATTAAAGGTGACTTTCAATGTATGAATAAATAATGCCTTAAATTGTTTTTAACTGCGCGATCATCTTACGGAGCTTCGTGGATCGTCGAATGTACCTTTTGGACAGGTTTCGGCCACGAATTTTGTTCGTGATGTTGTATCTAGAGTATTCAATATCGTTGCGTGTGTGTCAGACGGGTTTTTTGACTTGCTCTCGCTTCGCTTCGGTCCAATCCGTCCACATCCGTCGCGAGTTGGTTCCTTGTTATCCAGTCCATAGAGATCAACTAATCTTCTTATGGTACTCATGTTATTTGTATGGCTACATTGCAAATACAATTCGGAAAGAGCGCTGAAGCCAAAATTCAGGATGAACTTCCTAGTTGGGCTGAGGATGTCTATATGTAGGTACTTTGTGTGAAATAATGGCCTTAGTATTAACATATTTATAAGATTATTACCATGTACAATTTTTTACAAATAAATATGTTATTATTATTATTATATAATCCCCACCTTGTGTAGGCGGATGCCGTGTACCAGTAGAGACGTGTGTGTCCGATGGATTCTTGGCTCGCTCTCGCCTCGCTTCGCTCCGCTCCGTCCTCAGCCCGTCGCGCGGTGGCTCCTTATTGTCGGCGCCGCTCCGCCGCGTAGTCATGCGCGCGAACCCAAACGGCTGCAGGCTCTCCGACATCATGCGGTCCATCATTCTCGCCATGGTGTGGAAACCGGAAGATGGACTGCAAATTATTATCATTTTCATCAACCTGTTAATATCGCCCTTTCTGGGGCACAGGCTTTACCCATTGAAAGAATAAGGATATTAGGCGATGACCCACTACGCGGGTCCTGGGTGGATTGTTGGGTGCTAACGCAGTTGCAGCCGAGACCAACTTTGCATGCTTTCCGTCCGGGGTCCTTACCCCGGACTGACAAACAGACGGACACTGGAATCTTAGTAATAGAGTACCGTTTTTTTCCTTTGTGTGTGGAACCCTAAAAAAATTTGTTAAAAGTTTTATTTGTGTATATTTATTTTTTGTATTCCAAATTGCAGGTTCATTTTCATATAATTTGATTTTGAACACTATTTCCTTAGTTCCTAAGAAGAAATAGTCGAGTCGGCGCTCTTTTAAAATGTGCTCTCAGCGTTGTAGCATCGCGTCATATCACGAATCGTGTGAACTAACCCACATTAGGGTGAAAGAAACACAGAAATAGGGGTGATGACGGGGTACTGTAAACGAAATTCGATTTAGTCCGTCAGTTAGATGATCAAAAAATAATGGACACGTATTTTTACTTTGGGCAATCAACCAAAAAATGACAAAGTTATAGCGCGTCAAAGTTTGAAGAATGGTATGGTGCCAGAAGCTATACGAAGACATTCGTTACTGACCTACACTTTGATTTAACTAATTCGATAATTACCCGGCGCGCAAGATTTGTTATTACGCCTCTGCAATCACCTCTATGACTCAAGCTTTACATACCCAAAGAACGGATCTTGTCTGAAGAATTGTGTCAACCCCCCCACATTGGGGTACAAACTATCACCAAATCCGAAATCCATCCTGGTTCCCAACCGCCTTCCCAATCTTGTAAAGAACATCAAGTATTAATTCTATGGAGCAATCAGATCGAGGTCACTGCGGTTCATAATTTCTCAGCTGTACGTGTATAAGAAGAGTATCATTACGTTTGTTTAGACCGGGTCGGAAAATTATTTGTGCTATTTGGCAGTTTTGTTTTGGTGCGGTTGCCATGGCAACGGGTTTGCGGAAACCGCCCAGTGACCGCAGCAGGACGCAAGATCGTATGCGTGAAACGCCATAAACATAACAATATCAGCTAAGAAAAATAATTACAACCCTAGTGTTAAAGGAATAAAGCTCAGATTGAGTTACTACGAATGAATCATGTTATGTGTAATTGGTTAAGAACGAAAAAGCCCTTGACTGGTCTAGTTTGGGTGGAAATCATTAATCATTATTACGAACCAGTTTTCTCTGTGTTCGAATTATGCTATGTGGGTTACTGTTGTACTGTGAACATGCTTTCGTATCTTCAATTTCTCTTTCACAATAGAGAAACTATCATCATCATCATCAGCCTATTAATGTCCCCACTGCTGGGGCACAGACCTTCCCTATGGATTGAATAGCGAGATTGAGCCATAACCCACCACGCGAGCCCAGTGCGGATTGGTGGGTGCTAACGACTGCAAATGCAGCCGGGACCAACGGCTTAACGTGCCTTCCGAAGCACGGAGGAGCTCGAGATAGTAAATTTTTAGAGAAACAATACGACTTGGCAACTGCAGCTTAGGATCTGTGTAAAACATCATTATACCCATAGATGAATGATTGGTCTCGCTTCACTCGACGAAGCGAGAGCAATCATTCATCTATGATTATACCATTGGTTTGGTCTAATCTGTTGTTTGAATAATAAACCTCCGACTGTTGTTTGACGACCTCCGTGGCCGAGTGGTTTGTACGCCGGGTTTCATGGTGTCGCCGACTCGAGAGGCCCCAGGTTCAAATCCCGGTGGGGGTAGATGTTTATATGATGAATACGAGCATTTGTACTCCAGTCATGGATGTTTTATGTGTATTTCAATATTAATATACTTATATATAAAACTAGTTTTAACGGGTTAATGCACGAAACTTTATTTATTTATTGACGTTTCGCAGCCTTTTCAGGTTTGCTTCGTCGAAGAGTTTAATGAGTGATGTGCGTGAAAACCTAAGAAACAAATACTTATATATGAACAGTATATGTATTCTATACGTTACCCTAGCATCCCATAACACAAGCCTTACAGTGTTTACTTTGGGGCTAGGCTGTGTTAAAAAAAATATGTTCCAAATGAAAAAAACAGCACCTAACCTATAAAAGGGACTACCAAACCCCTGACCTGCATTTAGAATAGGAGAAAATTAACAACGAGCTCAAATTGCCAATTCTGCCCTCGAAATTGAAATCTACTATATAAAAATAAGTCGGGTTTTCCTTCCTGACGCTATAACTCCAGAACGCACGAACCGATTTCCACGGTTTTGCATTTGTTGGAAAGGTCTCGGGCTCCGTGAGGTTTATAGCAAAGAAAATTCAGGAAAAATTAAAAAAAAAATTAATCACCAAACGAAATGTTACATAAAACGAAGCCATCTGGTGGCGAAACGGAGTTCGCGGGGTTTGCTAGTATTACATATATCTTGAGAATTTTACTAATTTATTGTTTACCCTCACTTAATAAGGGGTAAGTGGGGTACAGTCGTAAAAATAACTGGTGCAGCAGATAAGTGTGCCACTCCAGCCATCGCCACCTTGCCGGCTTGAAGTATCTAATGCCCTGCCCCGTAGAGAGGTTCTAGAAAAGAATCATAATCAAAATTATTTATTCAGTTTAGGCTTATACAAGCACTCATGAATGTCTAGAAGCTACACCATCGGTTCGTAAATCTACGGCGGGGGACCTTGTACTCAGCAAGGGCTGTTTTATTTCTCCCTGTTTTATTATTTACACAGTCGTCAAGTTGAAAAGTCACTTCAGAGATGATTCATGAATTCACCTTTCATTACATGAAATGACAGAAACACAATACCACCAAAAGGTACTGTTATTTTAAAAGACGCTTACAAAACCCCGTACTATTGGGGAAAATTCTATTATTATTATTATTATGATAGTAACGATAATAATTGTTGGGCATACACTAGCGGTGGGTCGTTCTCAAATTTTCTGACGACGAAACGCAACCGTTTTCTCTTAAACGAAAACTAGTCCTAGAAAATAGTTCTCGTCGCAACTGTTTATGGTTGCGGCTGGGTGATGCAACGAAACGACACGCGACGGTCGAACGAATGAACGCAACGAAACTGAACTAAATGTAATCTGGTTAACGTTCGTTTCGTTGCTGCGAACGAGACGACGAAACATCGAAATAAATGTAGTGTTATACGATAATCGACTTTAAATGTTCAACAATAAAGATTATATTATTGTAAAATCAAAGCTGAATTATCATAGAACGAAACGGCATGTCATATCATTGCGTTCTATTATAGACTGTATTTACTTTATCATAAAGTACATATTGGCGTGCAGACAATCCGAGGACTAGTTGTTCGACGAAGACTGTTTTGATCCGAAACGTAAAACGGTTCTATCGTCGCGGAACACAAAACGGTCCTTGAAACCGGTTCGTCTTTAGAACGCTCACACCTAGCATACACGTAAGTACGACATTGACATCGGACAGTAGCCCATCATTTTCCATGTCAACAGCTCATCAAGTTATTGCCCCCTGACACACATCGGGTACGTTACGACGGAAGCTAGTCAGGTGTACCGTGAGCTTTAGGGGTAAACACAGAGTTCAATCACCTCTAATGGTGCAAGCTCACACACTTAGCTTCACTTTATTGCTTGCATACTTACTTTTTATGTAAAACGTTTAGGGTTGCCTGATAAATAATACACATATATGAATCTTGCTTTGCGCTTTGCTTTTAATGTTGTGGAGGTTTTTTCGCTCGTTTTTCTCCGCAGCTAAAAAATATGTCCAATAACGAGTGGTAGAGAAAAAAATGTTTTGACGATTCAAAAGTGTTGTACTATACATCCAATTTGAATAAAGATATATTGATTGATTGATTGAATCCGGTGAAAACATGATTTTCTCTAAAAAATCCTGAGATTCTACCTAATTAACCCCGCTGCAAAAAGCTGGCCCCTAGCTGTCGACTTTAATATAAATTTCTAAAAAGCTTAGTGGCGACCACTAGATTTCCTTCGACCGGTGGCTGCGTCTACTGGCTTGACTCAGCCACTAGTGGCCGCGATTATTTACTGAATGTGCGCTTGCTCTAAGCGTTCGAGTGGCCACTACTATGCCACTCGCGGCAGCGATCAGTGGTTGCATCGAGTGGCTTACTGAGCTACTAGTGGCCGCGTTCGATTAGTGGCTGCGTCTAGTAGCGTGACTCAGCCACTAGTGGTGGCGTTGAGTGACCGCGATTGGTCGCTCAATTTGCGCTAGCTCTTAGAGATCGAGTGGCCGTCACTATGCCACTAGCGGTGGCGATCAGTGGCTGCGTCGAGTGGCTTGACTGAGCCACTAGTGGTTGCCACTAGAAAGAAGCTTAGTGAAAGTGACTCGATTTATTTCGATTTGATTGATGGCTGCGTCTAGTGGCTTAATTCAGCCACTAGTGGCCGCGTTCAGTGGCCGTTACTTGAAGTTTTGTTACAGCCAGTCGATTTCGTTCGATTCAATTAAAGGCTGCGTCTAGCGGCTTGACTCAGCCACTAGTGGTCGCTTTTAGTGGCTCAATGTACGCTTGCTGCAAAGGCTGGCATCGCATTTGTGATACTTCAGTTGCTTTTTTTGTGGCAGATGTTTAAAGGTGGGTGATCGCTTAGCATCAAGTGAGTCGTCTTCTAGTATCTCTTATCTAATAGCCAAGTCCGTCCGTCCGTCCGTGGTGCTGTTTCAGCGGCCAAACCGTAAGAGATAGATATAGAGAATGTTTAAGTTATAAGTTAAGAATAGTCTGATAAGACTACAAACCGGATGTGAGTAACGTAGCACTTCCGGTTTTCTTTTTTTTTTGGTGAACATTTGGTTCACTGGTTTGCTAGTATCTACTATAATATTAAAAAAAACAGTCAAATGATACGACGAAGCTATACGTATTGACCGTAATGCCTGAATCAGTTTGTCCTAGA